TACCATTCTTAGAGCTTTAAAATTCATAATTAGGGTGAATAAATTTTCATAAAAGTGCAAGGCTTTCCCATACTAAAATTGTATCTTTTGCCATGGTTTTGAGGTGTGCCTTACTTTTATCTTTTAAGGTGCCTTATGCAAGCGTCACCCTTTGGGAATATTTAGAATAGGGTGTGATTTATATGAGGTTACAAACTTAAACAATCAACGTACGTAGGGCGCACCTCCAAACATTGTCCAAAGATGCAATTTTGGAGTTGAAAATTCTTACGATAACCCGAAATCCATTTTTATATCTAATTGTAAAATTTTAAACTTCAAAAGTGGTTCAAATCAAACATATCTATAAACATTTAAACACATGAAAGTCTTGAAAATGGACAGTCTTGATAATATATTAAAAAATATACGATTTTTGGGGCTTAAAATATTCTAGATTCTATATCCATACATCTCTTTGTTAAGATGATCAGTTGAAATGGCCACATACTTGGGGCACGTTTGTTACATGTGAAAATATTTTCGTGAAAGTATTTTCACATGAAAGAACTTGATAAAGTGTGGGAGTTTTTTTTCATACCAATTGATTCCTGTGCATGTATAAAAAAAAAGCCCTGAAACCAATTGATGCGAAAACACTCCCACACCTAATCACATAGGAAAATTCATTCATGTGAAAATAATTTCATGAAAATATCTTCACACGTACCAAACTTGTCCTAAGCTATTGCAAGAAAATCGAAAAAGCCCAAATGACTGCATGCTATCAAGAGAGCTTAGAGCCTTGAAGTAATTCAAATTTGCCAGGTACGAAAACTCAAAATAATCAATGCTAAGGCAATTATATGCAATTGAAGGTGGCAATAGTTTGTATGTAAAAAACTTGAGGCCTCATTAACAATTTGTCAGGCCAAGATTAGGCCAGTCCCATAAGCATTTCAAATTTGCCAGGCGTGAAATACCCAAATTAGCAAAAGTGAGCTATACAAAAGGTGGGATGCCTTTTAGGTGAAAAGATAGTATTCTAAGAGCAACTTGTATTATTTGAGTTCTGTTCACAGGCTATTTTATTACTCTTTATTTCTTAAAGTGTCATGCCCCATCTCTTTTTGGGATTCTTTGCATTTCAATCATTTTGAATGTGTTTTGTTTGTGTACTCCATTTGTACATTTTAGTGCAGGCATGTGGTAGTTAACAATGTTTGCACTCATGTTTCCATTTTTCAAGTAAAAGAGACTTTTTCTTCTTATATAAAAAAAGGCCATATTTTTCACAAACATATTAAAGAGGCCTCCTCTTCCATATTTGTTTTGGTTGTTGCAAGACCAAACATACTTCTGGAAATAAGGAAACGAAACATATAGGTTTCATCCTATTGGTGTTATTAATAATTTAATAGTGATAACAAGATAGAGGGGGAGATTCCTTAGTGTTAGGATCTAACAAAGGCAGTTAACCAACATGAAGACAAATATGAGATGGGAAATTGGTACTTCAAAACCCCATCATATAATTTTTTTGAAAGAAAAACCCATTCATATAATTAAGAATGCCTCAATTGGCACACTCTATTCAACTATGGTTTCCTTTTCAAAATCCATCTTAGTGGTGGATTTTGAACCTTAAATTAAATATTCCTGACCATCGAAATCGTAAATTAAAAAGATGAAATAAATTTTAAATACTAAAAAAGACGATTTAAACTGTTTTTGTGGACTGCTTTTGGACTAATGATTTCAGTTCTTTTCAAATAATCTATTTTAAGGTTTAAATTCTAATTTCTTTTCAAATTCATAATCATGATAATTGAGATTTTCGCCCAATGAAATTTTAGATCCAAAATCCTGGAGGAATTTTAGATGGGGATGCCTATATGGATAGCTGCACCAAAACACTTTCATGTGACCAATAGTAACAGTAACATGGATAATATTAAAATAAAAATAGCAGATAACACTTATTCTTATTATTATACAATGAGATTATTTATTTTTAGTCCAAGAAGGTCACAAATTGTGACCACAAGACACCAAATGTTAATAGTCTCATTGTATATTTTTTCTATTATTATTTGGGATTGGTATACAATGAGAACATTTACTTTTAATACAAGGAGGTCACAGTATTATAACCATCCGATGTGAAATCAGATATCTTAAATATATCACAAATTACTTTGAGCTTGGCTAATGAAATAAATGCAGCGATCTAAATTCACATCCAATGGTCAAGATTAATTGTGACCACTTATACGAAAGGTAAATAGTCTCATATACTTTCTCTCATTGTACCTAGGAGAGAAGATATGGCAAATAAAAATGATAACGTCAAAGGAGGATGGGCGAAAGTTTTGATGCAAGTATAAATGGTCTCATTGTATACATGTCCTTAGTACAATGTTCTCTCAAGAAACCAACTTAACTATTGCCAACGATTATATTAATTTTGATTTTATTTAAACTTAACGGACTGGTGACTAATCTTTTCAAAAACTCACGCCATCAAAATGCTATTTTACAAAAATAAAATAATGCTGAAAAATTCAGGACTACGAAGGAAAGGGATGGAAAGCCTGAGAGTTTTCGAATTATTATTCAAGATATCCATGTCATTTTCTTAAATAACTAATACGATCTCCCTCCCCTCTTTTAATTTATCAATTAATATTAAATACAAAGTGGTTGGGAACCTTTGAAGCTTAACCCAATTAAATCCATTAAAAATTATATTTGTATCCCCAAATTTACTAAAATGCCCCCTACTGTGACAAGCATTCCCTCGTCCACTCATCCTAGAAATTAACTGCACTCTTTTCTTTTGGGGCGAGGTTTGTATAAGGTTGCCTCCTTATACGGTACAAGCAAGGCGTCATCTCTAAAATTTAATTAAAGATGTTCAGCTCGAACATCTATATTTATCCTTATTTAAAAATGATAAAAATCGAGCAAATCAATAAACACTAGAAAATCTTAGATATAGATGGTTCAAAGTAATTTATTACAAGATACACTAATTTTTTAACTTGAAATTCTTGTTTTCTTCACATATCGAGATCTAGAAGATTAATTGGAGTATTCTCCAACACCATAACACTCTCATTTATAGGATTTTTAAGTACACCTTACTTCCATAATATAAGGTTGCAACTTTACGTAAACTTTTTTTTTTAAAAAAAAGATTAGACATCATTACCATACTATTGGGAGTACAATATTTCTTGCACATGTGTGGACCATAAGAACTTCTTTTCAAATTAAAATCTTTACCATCCATCATCAAGCCGACCCCAAATAGTTGGAAAGAAGGTTATGAAAATGATGACGTTGACCATCCATCATGAAGAGGGGGCGGCCGATGATATCCCCATGGTCGATGTCACTCTCTCTAGTCTCTAGGGATCACAACAAAGTAGAGACTAATAATGTGAAAGACTAAATAAGAAAGAAGCAGGGTTGCCAAACCCTCAACAACCAAAAACCCAGAAAAGAAAAGAGGAAACAAAGTAGAGAGAGAATAGAGAGGGAGACAACGTGAAAATGTGGGCTTCAAAACAGGAAGGAACGCACGGTGGGTGGAAGTCGGCACGTGGGCCACCCCGAGGCGGAGCCCGAGGTCCTCCACTGTCATTCTCATTATCACAAGGCCAGTCAAGGTAAAAAACATATGCCAGAAAAGGACAAAAAACACCCAGGTCATTCACGATAGTTTCAAGGGCATTCTTGGTCAAAACACCTGGTCCCAAATAAATCCCATTTCTTGAGTTGACGGACCTCACCTCGGCGTCGCCAAGGCGTTTGAGTTTGACTCACCAAAAAGTGAATAGAAAGAAAAAACCAGAACGCCATTACCATGCGGCCCAAGCCCGCACATGTAGAAATGAAAGCCGCTTCATATAAATTTATTGGGAAAAGTTTATATAGCGCCGATGCGCCAAACAATCAAATTTGAGCCTACTTCAAAAATTTACTAGAAGAAGTAGTTTTGATGCTCAAATATCCTCAAGTTGATCATCTCGACATCAAGATGCATAAACATGAAAACAAAATTGAATTTCAAAATTTGAAAATAGTGTATTTTATAATGTATTTTTGGACCGTCAAGTTTTAAGATTTTCAAATTTTCATAGATCTATCGATCCACACTATTTTTGAAGCTTTAAACTTTATTAATAAAGATGAAAATATATTTTACGGCTGTCACAAAGATTTTCAATATTGAAACCACATTTCTCTCGACACTATTTGAAAGTAAGCTCCAATTTGATTGTTTAGAGCCTAAGCTTTATACAAACCACACCCATAAATCTATCGGGAAAAGTTTATATAGAGCTGAGGCTTTAAACAATCAAATTTGAGGCCACATCAAAAATTTCATTAGAAGAGGTGGTTTTGATGCCCAAATATCTTTACATTGATAATCTCGACATCAAGAAGCATGAATACGAGAAAAAAATGGATACTGTATATTTTATAACGGATTTTTGAGCCGTCAATTTTCAAGATTTTCATAGATCTATCGAACTACACTATTTTTGAAGCTTTAAACTTTATAAATAAATATAAAAAAATATTTTAAGGCTATCACAAAGATTTCCAATATTGAAACCACATTTCTCGATATCATTTGAAGATAGGCTTTAATTTGATTGTTTAACGCCTAGGCTGTATACATACCGCACCCAAATCTATTTTTTAGATGTTTTTTGGATTTAGTTTTTAAGACTATTTTAGGAGATCATGAACATAAATAAATTTTAAAAAAAATAAAAATAATATTTTTTAAAAAAAACATTTAAACCGTTAGTTTTAATTATTTTGAAATGAGCCATATTTGCATCCATCTTTTAAGACAGAGGCTTTATACTTGTGGACGTATACGTAGAAATGCTGTAAAAAATCAAACACGAACAGCGATAGGGAGAGAGACCTAAAAACCGAACCAGGTCAATCTCCTAGAAAAAGCCAAAAGTTAAAGCGAATAGGGATTCAATCAAGCCACCAATATTTTTGATAACACCACCGAACGCAAGGGTAAGTGCCCTAGAAACTAAGCTATTCCCACCCGTTATTTGAATTGCATATTTAAAGATAGGAACGTGGCAGGAATAGTCTAAAAAGAAGAAATGCAAAATAAAGAAGAGAGAGGGAGCGAGGAGGCTAAAATAAGTAAGGAATTAAATAGTGATGCAGGGGCTATACATATATAACCGACTGCACCTGCGCCACCACCACCACCGCCCGGCGATTCCGCCGCCCCCACCCCCACAACCACAACCGCACGCCTCAACCTCCCTGCAGCAAAACGATTGTATTCATTACACTCGTCACTCACGCTCTTTCCATGCCCTATCCTTAAAACACCGAATTTTCTCCTCCCCTCTCTCTCTCTCACGCTCACGCTCACTCTCACTGCCATGCCTCTCCCCTGCCGCAAATGACGACTCTACCCCTCTTCTCCTTCCTCCTCCTGATCTTCACCTTCATCCAGACATGGGTGGTCAACCATGCCCTCGGCATGTCATCAACGCTCGCGGTGATCCATGCTACGGGCACCGTCTGCGGCATCATGGCCACGGTGCTTCCGCAGTCAGTTTCAAACTCTGTGGTGTGCTATCGCGGCGGCGACCGCGTCCTTCGTGCTGCGCCATCGAATGTCTCCTTCTCTGGGATATCCGGAGGCAACAACACCTTTTGTGGCATCGTGTCTGGCGGCAGCCCCATCCTCTGTTGGGACACGGCAGGCGCCAATTTGTCTGACAACTTTGCTTTCCGCCGCTTATCAAAGGATCGCATCTTCAGATCGTTAAGTGTTGGAGAGGGGGAGGTTTGCGGGCTCGGTTTTGCAGGGGTGGTCGAGTGCTGGCGTGGGGGCGGCTCTGTGGTGGCACAGTTTGCATCGATCACCGCCGGCGACCGCTTCATGTGTGGGATTTTGTCCAGTGGTTTCCGTGTTCGGTGTTGGGGTTCTTCAGGGATAGGGGGCGAGATTGAGGCCCAATTTTCCAATTTGACAATGTCCAGTTTGGTAGCGGGTGGGTCGCACGCCTGTGGATTTAGGAGAACTGATGGGGCTTTGATTTGTCGGGGAAGGAATGAGTCGGGTCAGCTTAACGTCCCTCCAGGAGCGTCAGAATCCCAGTTCTCGAGTTTGGCATTGGGGTCAGACCACAGCTGCGCTACGAGGAGTAGCAATGGAACAGTGGTTTGTTGGGGTGGTGGCTCAAATTCTTCGTTGGTGTTGGATTACCCGAGCGATGAGCCATTCTTGACGATAGTTGCAGGAGGGAGCATAACCTGCGGGCTCACGAGAGCGAATTTCTCAGTGATTTGTTGGGGTTCTGAGTATTTCAGGCAGCCAAAGATACTACCATTGCCATTACTGATTCCTGGACCGTGCACCTCGGTTCAATGCCCTTGCGAACTGTATCTGAATTCACAGAGACTATGCTCGGGTAACCAGCGTATATGCGAGCCCTGCTCAAACCACAGCCCACCTCCTCTCTTTCCTCCACCACCTCCGCAGCCACCACCGCCACCAACCACTAACCAAACCCCAACAAAAAACAATGGGATCCTAAGCCGGGGTTTATTGGCATTTGCCATTATTGGATCTGTAGGAGCATTTATATCCATTTGCACCCTCATCTACCACGTTTGGACAGGAAAATGTTTTCGCCAGAAGAAGGTCCACAACTCGGTCCAACCCACAGTTGCTGCAGCCGAGCCTCCTTCTCGGTCCTCATCCACAGGCATGAGGCGACAGGGCTCGCGAGCCATGCGACGACAAAGGAGTGGCACCTCCTCGTCCAAACATGGTGGTTGTGACCATCGAGCTGAAGATTTTCTACTCGCTGAACTCGAAGCTGCAACTGATGGCTTCTCACCAGCAAACAAGATTGGGGCTGGAAGTTTTGGCGCTGTGTATAAAGGCAAGCTCCCTGATGGTCGAGAAGTGGCAATAAAACGAGGGGATACAACACAGGCACGACGGTTCCAAGAGAAAGAGAGCGCCTTCAGGTCGGAGCTTAGCTTTCTATCTCGGCTTCATCACAAGCACCTTGTCTCACTCGTCGGCTTTTGTGAAGAGCAAGAAGAGAGGCTCCTGGTGTACGAATACATGCACAATGGTGCTCTATACGACCACCTCCACACTCGACAAGAGCCCGCTTCCCCAGTCCACTCATGGAAGATGAGGATCAAAATGTTGTTGGATGCAGCAAGGGGGATCGAGTATTTGCACACGTATGCAGTGCCGCCGATTATACATAGAGATGTCAAATCATCCAACATTTTGCTTGATAAGAGTTGGACAGCTAGGGTTTCAGACCTAGGGCTTTCTTTGAGGGGACCAGATGGCGAGGGAGGTTACCTGAACATGGCAGCAGCGGGGACTGTTGGGTACATGGACCCTGAGTACTATGGTCTCCAACAGCTGACCACAAAGAGCGATGTGTATGGTCTCGGGGTTGTGATACTTGAAGTTCTCACCGGTAAGAGGGCAGTATATAGAGATGGAAATGGAGAGGTTGGGGTGGGAGGTGGAGAGCCGAGTAGTGTGGTCGATGTTGCTGTTCCAAGAATTATGGCAGGGGAGGTCGGGGCAGTGCTCGATGCAAGGGTGGAGGCGCCAGTTATGGGAGAGGCAGAGGCAGTGGAACTCGTTGCTTTGATGGCTGTACAATGTGTTAGGCCTGAAGGGAGAGACAGGCCAACTATGACTAACATTGTGGCCAACCTTGATCGTGCGTTCAACTTGTGTACCTCAACGATGACAAGCCATGGTAGCATCTCGTTTTCACTCCCATCCGAGTGATGGTGGCTTCTTTTTTTGTTCGTCTTCTTGACACTGATTTTGTTGGTGTACATTTTGATTCAGCTCATACACACACAAAGAGAGAGAGAGAGAGAGAGAGAGAGAGACAGAGAGAGAGATATTTATTCATGGTTACTGAATTATTGTACCTCTAGTGACCATGACATTGCAATTTTGTTGAGTTGGTATGGACAAAAAAAAGGCCATCTGATCAGATGCCTGGACTCCTTTTCATAAGACTCAGATTTATTCCTGATATCTTCTATAGAATTTTATAAACCAGATCATATGAGAATGTACTGGATACATTTGCTAAACAAACAAGCCTCAAGCAGTTGCTTTCATTATGAAACATGAATGAATACACGTTATGTGAAGAAACCACTACATGTGTTTTGCTGTTATTACACACGCATTACACTGGCAAAGATGTAATTAAATTATATTTCAACCAAAAATACTTTTGAGATGACAAATCCCTGAGTATCTGTTCTTTAGTCATCTTTCTTCAATCCTTTACTCGTCAAATTGGAGAGCCAGATAAGACTAGGAAACTATGATAATTGTATTCACCAAAAATTGCTGTGGTAATCAAATCCTTGGATATCTGTTCTTGAGACGTCTTGCTTCTACCTCATTCATCCAATCGGACAGCCAGAATAGACCATGATATCCAAAGTATGCAAAAACAAGCAGCAATACAACCATGGTAGCAATTAAAAGCCACTTCTGAGCTGTCAACGTAATCACCTGAAAAACTTGCTTCTATCTTAACATAAATATAAAAATTTGGACCATCCAAGAAGCACAATTTTCTCCAACATAGATTGAAATAGAGAACACAAACCTCGAGCTTTGAACTCCTTTTAATTTCCTGTTTGTGTTCACGCCTCTTCCTTCCTTTTGGCAAAAGTGCAGGTTTTGCTTTGTCCTTCAAAGCAAAACATCAAATAATCAAAGAGGCCGTAGATGCATAACTCGTTGCATAACTTGTTAACGTAGAGACAAGCATGCAAAAAATGAATGCATGAAATTAAATGAACTCTCGTGCATGCATGAGAGTTCATGCATGCAGACAAAGATACGCAAGCATAACCCAATCCCAAAACAGATAAACGATCCAATGCCCAACATAGATACGACAGCCTCAAAGAGAACCCAAGAATAGATAAAGAATGCCAATGTCCGACAGACACAGAATTCTCAAATAGAATCATATGACGAGTGCCCAATCATTCAATTACTATGGAATAATGTAGCTTGATAAAGCAAGCGAACATTCTTCGGTATGGATGTGCAGTTCATTTGTCTGGATTGCAGCAACAGGTCAGTTTCTATTAGTTTGTTAGGTTTGTCATCCTTAAAAGGCTTTTTATGTAGTTTGGTACACATATACTCTCTTTTTTATTTCCGGGTTCAAGCACACGGTTTCATTAATGAGAACTAGGTACAATCGCATCAATTTGGCACATCATCACTGGCATATTTTCTAGTTTCATTACAAACGGCAGCTATGTAGAAGTCGTTTTATAGGAAAGGGGCAGTTTAGTAATTTCTAAATCTCCAGTTTTCCATATAAGCTTAAAAGTGCATCGAGAATTTGGCCATTCAATCATTGAAACGACGTGATTCTTGTCAATATCCATGTTTATGAAGTCATAAAAATTGGGTTATCCGACAAATTTTTGTTCCTATAGTGCCCTCTATTCGCCGCTCTACTTTTTAGGACGCAAAGGGAGATATGTAATATATTTAGGGTTTTATGGGAACCCCAAAAATATTGGTGTCTTCTTTATATTTAGAAATTGGCATTTAGATCTGTTACTAAAGATGCTAAATCCAGGAGCTGGACAAATTAAAAATAAGGATCTCCTCTGTTCAAAATAATAAGTCCTGGTCCTATGGCTCAAGTCTACATAATATATGCTAATCTACGAAGAGTACCAATTTGAAAGCTCAGCTTTTATCAATCATGCATTCAACTTCTGAGTTTGCTGTCACCGATTCATCTAAGATGCAAAGGACATAACTAAGTCCTAATTCAACTTTTGTCCCCCTTGCTCTCCATCCTGGGCTTCCTTGGTCCATCATCGTATAGGCGGTGTACAATATATGGTCCTATCTGGATGCGGGGGTGAACATTGCCCAAAGTGGGGTTATATATGCAGGTTGTTTAGAGCCAAGATTTTCACTGCCGTAATATGCAGTGTTTCAATCATTTTCCGCATGTAGTTGTTTTATATGCCAGGGGTAGTTTAGCTATTTCTAAATCTCTTGCTCTACTCATAAACTTTTAAGTACAAAAATGATTTGGTCCATCAGACATGCTACCAAAGTTATTAAATCCAGGAGATTTTGTGGTATGTCTTCCTGTTCTACAAATAAACAAGTCCTAATCCATTGGGCATCAGGAGTTGGTTTAAATTTGTGGTTTAATCTACATAGAAATATATGAATCTACAAAAACTAACTCTTTGAAAGTTCAGCCTTTTAAATCATGCATTCAACTTCTGAGTTCCTTGTTCCGTAGATTCATCTAAGCATGTTCTTAGTGCAAAGGAAATAACGAATGCCTAATTCAGCTTGCCCCGACTTCCTGTCCAGTCTGGCTTTCCTTGGCCCATCATCTCATAGGTAGTGTATTATGTGTGGCCTTATCTGGATTCGGAGGTGAGCACTGCCCAAAGTGGGCTTATATATGCAGGTTGTTTGTTGCCAAGATTTTTATAGCTGTTGTATGCAGTGTTCCATCATTTCTGCATGCAAGAAGGCACACATCAGTGATTCCACCATTTCAGGGAAAAGACATTTTGCCTCCATCATCGTTAAGAGCACCTTGTGCCTGGCTTATTGACCCATCCAGATAGGAGCCTATACAAATGCACTTACGTATGGCATTAATATAATAGTTTGAGATCAAAATCATATTCCGGTATATCTTTTACATTCTACAAAGAAACAGTTCCCAAACCACTGAATATCACAAGTTAATTTGCATTCTCTGAATTAGTCTATATATCATCATCATCATCATCATCATCAGAGCATTTTCCCAACTATTTGGGGTTGGCTATATGAATCCTGATCTGCCATTCTGCTCTATCAAGGACCATAACCTTAGTGAGGCCACAAGTCTCTATATATTTTCTCACTACTTCCAACCATGTCCTTTTAGGCCCAACCCTTGCCATTTTTTTAGCCTTCCACTTGAACCAACTCACCCCTCCTAACAAGTTTTGTAATAGGTCAGCGCTGCACATGGGCAGCTTACCTAAATCTACTTTCTCTCATCTTATTTCCTAATGGAGCCACACCTAAGAATGCATTCATTTCGAATGTTATCCCTTCTTGACTTGCCCACCCATTCATCTCAACATCAGCTACACTCATCCTATGGGTCTATTGTTTCTTGACTAGCCAACATTTTGCCTCATAAAGCAAAGCTGGTCTCACAGCTGTCCTATAGAACTTCACCTTCAACTTCATTGGTATGTAGCGATCACATAAAACTCTGGTTATACATCTCCACTTCGCCCAACCAGCTCTAATTCTATGTGCGACATCTTCCTTAATCTCTCTATTTTCTTGGATTATCGACCCAAGATACCAAACGTGTACTCTTTTTGGTATTTCTTGGTCATCAATCTTAACTACTTCTTCGTTTTTACTCCTATTATTACTAAACTTGCATTTTATATATTCTATCTTAATCCGGCTAATTTTAAAACTTTTAAATTCTAGAGGGTGTGGTTTGTGTAAGGTGCACCTTCAAATAGTGCTGAAATATATTTTTTAGTATCAGAAATTATTTTTTACCTCTAATTATAAAATTTTGAGATAAAAAATAGTGTAGATCGATCAGAACTATGAACACTTGAAAATCTTAAAAATTGATATGGATGATACATTACAAGATATACTATTTCCAACACTTGAAATCTATTTTTTCTCATGTCCATCCATCATAAGGTCCATGCATCATAAGGTTGAGATGATTGAATTGGGGTTTTTTCGGCATTGAAACAACCTCTTCTGGAGAATTTTTGAGGTGTACCTTAATTTGATCATTTAGGGCCTCACCCTTATATAAACTTTTCCCAATTCTAGGGCATCTCTCCAAAGTTATTCTGTTCTATAATAGAATAGAATAATCTAAATATAAAAGACAATATTCTATAATGTAACACAAGTCATTTTATAGGTTAACCTTTTCCCTATCATCCATACAACTTCTGGAAATATGGTTCTTTAGAATCATCAAAGCATGTCTTTACTGCAAAGGAAATAACCTAAACAAAATTTGGCTTGATCCAAAACCCACCAACCCCTATCTTCAGTCAGTACTTCCTTGGCTCCACGCATCACATAGGCGGGGTGTAAATCAAATGGTCTTGTTGGAATTCCCGGAAAAGTACCACGCAAAGATTTAAGCCGCTGCTATATACAGCGCTTCGTCAATTTTTTATGCACAAGAAGGCACAGATTGGTGATTCACCATTTCTTAAATAATGCACTTTGCCTGTCACCGATAAGCCCACCTTGTGCAGTCAGCAAATTGGGACATCCAGAAGGCACTCACATTAATGCACATGCACACGTGCATTAATGCATGACATTGAGGTTAAACCTGAGGTTATCACAATCTATTGTCTTAAATTGACATACAAGTAACCTAGTCAGGCATGAAAAACTCTTATTCTTCTTTTAAACTAGGGTGCGGTTTCTATAAGGTTGCAACCTTAAACAATCCAATTAAGGTGCACCTTAAAATTCTATTATAACATGTAATTTTGTTG